CTCCGAGCTCCGCCAGGACCGAGCGCGGCCTTTAGGGCGGCAGGACCCGCCAGGTGAGGGGGAGGCTGTGCCCCTGCCAGGTGCCCCCGGTCAGAGAGCTCTTGACTACAGAGGCAAGAGCCGGGTCTTGTGCCAGTAGGTTTGGGTCCCTCTCCCCACCTCTAAACAGTGCTATGTATTTTCATTAAACAGTCACAAAGAGGATACACTCAAATCATGGCCTCAGAGAAGCCTTAAACTGTTGGTTCTGCAAGAGACCTCCTGAGAAGAACATCAGGGGAAGGCTGGTATCTTGCCACTGTCTCCTGAGGCAGGTCCCCAGCTACACCGCAGTTGCCATGGGTCTCCCAAGATGGAGGTGGTTCATATTCAGTGCAGGAATGGAGAGGAAAAACTAATTGTGGATCAGATGCCAACAACCACAAAAGCCAGAGGAATGTGCTAGTCCAAAGAACAAGGGAACAGGACAAAGACCACACTAAATGTCAGGAAGGCCACACCATGAAGCAGAGCCAAAGACCAGGGCAAAGCTCTGGTGAGGAACTACAGCCTCCACAGCAGTAGGCAGAGTCCACAGATACAACAAAGCAGGGAAGAGAAAAAGGAAGATTCTGAATTCAGGACCAAGGAAATTTTGTCCAAAACTATTCAAGCCAGTCTTCAGGATAAAACCCAATTATAATCAGAAACACGGTGAGCAGCTGAGGTCAGAAGGGTGGGGCAGCAGGCAGTTAAGACCAAGAGGCCAGTTTAGGGAGTCTGCTGGGAGATTGATAGGGGGCAGGTGGCTGGCTGTAGATATCCATGGCCTTGAACTTGATTCAACATTTTGTAAAAACATGGAGCGCATGTGCAGGACATTTGTGGCCACTAAAGAGATGAGGAGGGCTTAATCTAACAGAAAACTCACTTTTTTTGCTTGTATACCTATAACCTGGTCTGGTTCCCTGATGTAATTCACTACAGGGCCACACAGATGCTTATGCTTCCCCAAGGCTGGAGAAGACAGGGAAAGGTGGTCTGCAAACTGCAGTGCCTGTTTATCGTGGCTTAAATTACTCTTCAAGTCTCAATGTCAGGTAGAGAGAGAAAAATATGCCACTTACAGAGAAAGGTTCTTAAATTCAATAATTCTTAAAACAGTAGTTCTTCAAATAACTTGTGTGGATCTCTCAGGATGACAGGTATTCAGGAATTGAGGGTTTAGAGGTGATAAATATATATATTGGAGTGTACTGTGGCAAATTGTAAGCATTTTGATACACTAGCTTGCGTTTTGCTAATGGGTCTTCATGCTGCAGAGCTATGTCCAACTGTCCACATCTCACAGAGTTATCACTTAGAAGCAATTCAGCACATTGTTCAGACCATTTTAAACTCTATCCAAACCAAAAAAGATGGCTAAAACTTAGAAGAGCAACAAATCTTGCATAAATGCTAAAAATAGCATAAATGCTAAAAATAGCATAAATGCTAATTTAAGGGTAGGCAGGACCAAGCTATTTTCATCACACCATTTTAGAAAGTGTTTCTGGCATGAAATCCTGGCCCCATTGAAATTTAGAGGGCTTTTGTCAATCCAGCCAGGATTCAAGCCTTGAAGCTTGGCCTATATGAAGCATATTTGGGCTTCTGAGAGCACTTACCACCCTCAAATCTAGCACCAGTCATCTCTGCTGCCCGACTGTGGGTCCACCTAACAGACCTGTCATGTATCACATGGACTGCAGGAAGCTGAGGCAGCTGCCTTTCAGTCTCCTGAGATGCTGTGACTGTATATCTTCTCCCAACAGACCCTCCCCTTCTGGTTCCATGTTGTCCCCACACAACATAGCTAGCTCATCCAGCTGCATCCCACCACAAACGGTTTGCAGCGTGTGTGCCAGCCAGGAAACATCCCTTGCCCTGCTGCTGCAGCCCTGTACCTAAACCAGCCTACGTAACCCAAAATGGGGACATTCCCTAGTTGCACGGCCTAAAGCAGGGTGTGTGACAATGCTCATGAAGTCATGTTTTGGGTTAAAAGGAAGCTGCAGTTTTGATACCTGCATGAGGCACCTGATTACAAATAGCTTGGCCATTGTAACTTTTCACTGCTGTAGCTCTAAAACCAGACGATAGCTATCCAGCACATTTAGTATATAACACAAAAAAGACAAAAATGCAAACATCAAAGTAAGACAAGGCCTGCTCTATGAGACAAATGAGGAAACTTAACCAGTCATCTGGGAAATACAGAGGAAATAAAGGAAACATTGAAAGAGGTCTTAACATTTTATTACTATTTATGGTAACTCTGTTTTTTATGCTATATAGGCCTTGACTGACAAGAATCTGCAAGTCTTTTCAGCATTAAGTATCATTGTGTCTTTGAAAACATGTACATGCACTAACATATCACTGTATAGAAATAGCGCATTCATTGTATTCAAAGAAAGAGTCATGGATGTATCTTAATGAAGTTTTAAATATACCACAGCTAAGTGTTCTTGTTTGGAGGAAAATTAAAAGTCACCTTCCTGAAGCTTCTATACTTCCAGAGAGAACGTTCAGCTTCTAACAGTAGCTTTTGAATTTTAGTGAGAATACCCACTTCTCAATACCTGAAGATTTAAGTAATATTTTATAATGTACATTTCAAATACTATTCAGCATTGTGAGGCATTTGTAACAGTGGTTGCATAGGCCAATATAAAAATCTCACCCCACTCATGTAGGTAAATTAGGAAGGGCCTAGCATGTATCTGCATATATTAAAACACACAGTAACACAGCGTGCTTAATTACTATGTCGTCTCTAGCAAATACTACTAGACCCCTTAGAAAATGAAATCACAATTGATATGATACACTGTATTAAGCTGAGCAAAGCTGAAATGTTATTTTTTAAAATACAGGATCAGTCATGTTGCAGTAGTTCACAAAGAAAGATCTCTCTACACCCAACTGCATTGTCCTCATCCTTAGTCGTGAAAATTTAACTAGTTAAGAGAGCAAATATATTTAATGAGTCATTTTTATGGCATGTTATTTACAAAGGCCCATCATTAAATGAATATATTTACTTTTATAAGCATCACTTGCTCAATTACCAATGCTGTTTGAAAAATTTTAAGTCATACCTAGATGTTGGCTGTAACTACATGGCATCAATTTATCTTCTTCATGGAAAACACACAACCAGGAGTATCTTTCCCACTTTGTTCTGGCCAAAAATATGACTTTGAAGATCAGCTTTTGAAGACAACCACGCACTTTCACAACCTTTACCTCAACGTACATGATGGCAGAACAAAAGAACATCTTAGGGCCCCAATCTCACAACCACTAATATGCGTTTTCTCATTTTAGCCGCGCACTTTTTTCCACTCAAATCAGTCTTCATTCTCGGGATGTACTTAGGACACGTTACGACTGCACTACACTGCCGGCCAAGCCAACCTCCACTGCCAACCACTGTGCTCCCAGCCCGCAGGGTCAGCGCAGAAGGTGCCTCTGTTTTGTTTAATGACAAAAAAAAAAAAAACCCAAAACATTTACCACACAGGTTCACTTTTTTTTCCCCCCCCAGGATGGCCATTTTACAGGAGCAATCCATGCTTTTGCTTTTCCAACTGAGAACCCAAGTAGGGAAACAACCCGGGTTTTAATTTTGCTGTCGTTATTGCTGGATACACCCAAGGAGAAAATGAGGGCTGAAGCTTTGTCCTTAATAAAGTCACGCAGTTCCAGTTAATGTCTAAAATGTAATTCCCGCCCTGAGCTAACACACGAAATACCCATAAAATCAATTTTCCCTGCGCCAGCCTCCCCTCCCGCCCTCTTTACCCCGCCTGGCATCCTGGCATCCCCGCCTGGAAAACCTGCGGGGAGCAAGCTGCCGCCTCCCTTCCCCGGCGAAGCTCCG